TACCAATTATGTGGTTTGTCTTTTGTCATTAGTTAGACATTTAATGATCAATTGGTATTAAACTATCAACTAATAGGAACGTTAATTAGCGTTATATTGACATATTAATACAATAAGTTTGAACTTTGTAAATTACCGTGTAAGTTATTGTGCGATATAGATACTATTGATCATCAAATGGTTCCCTGATATATGGGTTTTTGAGATATCGAGAATATTATAAAAATGAGTTGTCTTTCAAAAGTGTATGATAACTGAGCATATACAACATTGAGCATGAAAGAGAAGCTTTTATAATGGTAAGATAAAAAAACATAATGATTTATTACCAAAAATATAATATTGAGCAAAATCAAAAGGGTGTTGAGCAAATTAAAAAAAATTGATAAGATATGATTGATAATCAAAAGGGTGCTGAGCAAGTGTTCTTATTGTGGTGTCCAAGCTTCTTGCACCTCCCACACTTCATTGGTCTTGATTCTTCCCCATTAGACTTAATCCTCTTAACCCTTGGTCTACCGGGTTGTTTTTTTCACTGGAGGCTTGATGACAAAATCCTTCACTATATCAATTGGGGGTTGATGGATGTCAGGAATCGATTCAATTGGAAAAAAATATGAAGACTTATAGTAATCGGCTGTGAAATAGTCTTCAATGTAATCATAAGGATTGCCATCGTTGTGCATGATAGCTGCAACTGCGTGTGAGCAAGGGAAACCTTTAATCTGCCATTGACAACATGAACAATACCATTTTTCCAAGTCCACCATCACCGAGTCATTGCTACGTACTTCAAATTCCAACTCCCTTGACCGGCTAATGTGCCAATGTCTTCCCACCTCCAATAACTTATCCAACTGGTTCTCCATTTCGGGGCATAAATAAGAGTTCCATTTCTCTGCATCAATACGTCTCTCAGCATTCATCACCATCAATTTAACTCTTATGCTTTCTACCAATTGGAATATTGGTAATAATCATTCTTTCCTAATCCAAGAATTGAATGACTTGGCAACATTTGACCACATTTCACCGTACCTACCAAAAAAAAACAAGTCAATCAAAACACTGCATAATCTTGACATTATGTTGTTCCATAACCAAGATTTCATACCAACTGAAAACTCCTAAAAAATATACTGTTGAATGAAAGCATAATAAGAGAAGGAATAAAAATGAGGAAAATGAATAGTGGTAGGACGGCAAGTCTTAAACCAAATCATGTACACAAGCACCTCTTCATTAAAACTCAACATAACAATTGTACCTGGCACTTAAAAAGAATGCATCTGAATAGTTCTCTTTGGGCAAGTCTTCCAAAAATTTGTCAATTAGTCCACCGCCCTTTTTTCTCAGAATCTGCAGGTTTACGTCGAACACTTCTGGAGTGAATGAATAAGCACAGTTCTTGAATAATTGGACCATTTTCTTAGGAAACTTTTTTCCAAGGCCAATAGGATATGTGGTCTTAATATTCTTTTCTATGTGGTAAATACAAAATCCATGTGGAGAAGTAGGGAAAACATTTGCCACAGATTGAAGCAATCCTTTGTGCCGGCTTCCTAAAGAATAGGCACGTATAGAAATATAGCTACATAAAAGGATATATATGGAATTTAATAATTAACATATTAAATTAAAAAAACACAATAATGACTTGTAATCTAAATAAATATAAAAATTGCTGACATGGCTATTGTTTAGGCATCCTAATCAAATTTTGTAGTAAAATCAATGTTTAATCTAAAGAGTATTAGAAAAGTGAAAGGGAATCTAATTTTCCCTAAAAAAATATAGATAACGCATGTGGCGGGACTTGATAATATAATACTTGTCCTTTACGGGCTTCAACTTGTGACCCGCTTACTATTAACGAATTTTTACTGTTCGAAATTAGCCTAGGAAAGTCCCAGCAAAATCCAAAAAAATCAAAGTAGAGAATATTCTAGGAATATTCCATAAAATATTTCGATAAATATTCCAAGAATATTTCGGATCCATTCGAAAATGGGTCGGGTCAACGGGTCGGTTTCCTGGATAAACAGGTCAGGGTCGGATCTAGGTTCTGGGTTATTAGGTCGGGTCGACCCAATATGGGTCGCGGGAAAGAAGGCCGAAAAATTTCCAACTCTGTTCAACACTTAAATTTGAACCAAAACACACCAAATTTAAATCAAAATGTAGATAAAAGATAAGGGCCTGTTTGGTATCATATTTGAAAATTTTTATCATTTCTCAAAACATTTTTTAAGAACATTTCTTGAAGACTAAAAAACTTGATTGGTTTCCAATTTAAAATTTTTAAATCTTACGACTTAAACTGGAACAAAAAGATCTAAAAAGAGATGGTCGCAAGAGAGGTAGAAAGAGGAGAGAGGAGGAAAGAAAGTAAGAGATGATTTAAGGAAAGAAAAAAAAAGAGAGAGAATCGGACAAGATAAAGAAGAGGATGAGTGAGAAAAAGAAACTAAAAAATGAAGAGAGCAAATTGGAAGAGAAACGAAAAAGGTAAAAAAAAAAAAAGAGGAAAGAGAAAGAAGAAAAGAGAAAGATAGATTTGAAGTGGGGATGAGGGAGAGAAAAGAAAGAAGTGAATTTAAGTTTAAAAATTCACTTTTTATGTTTTTAGAGAATAGATTATATTTTTTAGTTAGTCTTGAGTTCAGTTTTTAAAAATAGTCATATCAAACAAGATTTTAAGGTCTAAACTTGAAAATTATTTTTGAGTTTAAAAAGTTGGATTCAAGTACACTACCAAACATGCCTAAGGAACTCAAAACTACCTAGCCCAGGTTGAAATGTGACCGCAGACGCCGGAAAATGGCTCGAAAGCCGTTGGATTTCCGCCGGAATCTGGGAAAATGAAGGCACGGTAAAAAAAAACTCAATTTTTAGCTCGAAACCAACCCAAATAGTTAAGAAATGTTATTAGGAACCAAAATAAGTCCACTTCAGTATAACTCACCTCGATTTCGTTGAATTTCCAAGTCGAACTAGCCGGAGTTCGACGGGAGAAGAAAGTAAACAGTGGCCTCTGCCACTGCGTGGTTCAAGGCCTCGGCCTGGGTTCGGGTTCACTCTTGTTTCTAGGTTCGGGACGACAAGAATCAGGTGGTGGTTTGTGTTGTGGTAGCCGTGCTCGCCGGAGTGGTGAGTTGGAGGTGCTGATGTCGATGTTGTTCCAAAAGAGGAGGGAGCTAGTGAGAGAGAGCTAAGGGAGGGTTTGAGAGACGAAGGGAGAAAACTTCGAGAGGGTTCCGAGTTTTAGGAGGAGAGTGACACGGGGCAAGAGAGTGAGAGGTGAGTTGGGTATGGCCATTGGGGACCACAAAAATCTCACCAGAATTTATTAAATTTCAACTTTAATATCTAGATTAGTGCATTGACTAAATTGCCCTTCAGCTTTGTTGTTCTGTAAAATCTCCATCGTAGCTTCGAATTCGATTCCACTTGCGTCCACGTGTTCGTGGCGACGAGTACTACTCGAATATGGTAAAATAGTAGCTCATACATGTCACGAAACGATGGTCAACGTAAGTCAATATCCTCTTCTCTAGAGGCATTTTGGTCATTGCCCACTTTTAATATTAAAATAACATAAAATTAGGGATGGCTCCTAGCATAAATTAGACCCTTAATGTTTGGAAAACAAGTCTCAGGAACAATAATATAGAAAATAGACCGAGTTCTCTTTGATTTACGCTTGTCAAGTTGCTCTATGAATGTCTCCGGTAGCTGTTCTACATCACTTTCTAACCATTTTTATTGGTTTACTCATGGGAAAGAGGATCCTAGCCAGATCCCTTTCCTAGGGATCCTAGGGATCCTGCAATCGTGTCCGTTCATCGTACATCGTGCAGTCAGAAATCATTTAAAATTTAAAATTCAAATATAAATAGTACCTAACGAAATTGACTGCACAATGTATGATGAATGGACATGATTGTGGAATCCCTAGGATCCCTAAGAAAGGGATCCGGCGAGGATCCTTGTTATACTCATGTAGGGATCCGGCGAGGGTCCTTGTTCTACTCATGGTACCATGACTACCTTGTTATTACTTGGTGTTGTCCAAGAAAAAGTAATCTAGCTATGATGTTGATCATACTTGCTGGAATTAACTGGAAAGTAAGAAGATTGTACTAATGGCTTTTAGCTTTTATACTTTTGGTCATCGGTAATTATTTTTTTCTCATATATCTCAATACCTTTTGATAAGAGGATTCTCGTGTCTAATATTTGTACCAAATGCATGCATAGTGTCTCGCTAATTTGTAATTAGCAAGGACCGATATAGTCAGTTAATACAATTACTATGTTTAGTTAGGCTACACAAACACACACACGGCTTCAAGTATGTAAATTTAGCTGCGTTCTGTGGTAATTAATTCAGCTGAATTAGGAGAGTGCAGATTTTTGAATGCGAGCATGGCTTAGAGACAAAGTGGAAAGTGGTTGTGCCACAATAGCGTGTAGGTATTTACACATTAGTAAGTGGAGCAAAAATGTTATTCGTACCATTTATTTGTGTCATCTATCTAATAGAAATGAGATTTACATATGTTGGTGTGTCTTACCTCTACTATAGAGATTGTACAAATAGATAGTAAGTGTAGCATTACTCATAAGTGGAGAGATTTTTCAATGTGTCCGGAATAAGTGGCGGTACCATATGTTATTGTACAAATAGACGGAATTTTTTTTTTTATTTATTTTTTATTTTTTCAAGTGTTCCTCCACTTATATAATGAAATATGACGTATGTGTCCATATTCCGAGCATACTGAAAAATCTCTCTGGTAAGTGGCTCATCATTTGAAGCTTCCCTTAATAGTGGTTGTAGCTTTTAATTTTATGCATGCTACAGAAAATAGCAGGTAATTCCTCTCATATATTTCAAGAAGATCAGAGCTTCAATACGGGTACGTCATCTTAAATCAAAGTTGAATACTTTGAAGTCCTGTTTTAAAATTTATATATGATTTCACATAAGTTTGAATTGTAAACTGAATATCATTTAGTCTATTTGTAACAACTGTATCAATTGTGAAGTAGCATGTTGTAACCACAATTATGGAAAGAACAAAGAGTTTTGACATATTTTTATTATAGCATTTCGAAATGCTATGATATGATCTATTCACTCATATAATTTTATGCAACAAAAGAAAATTCATAGCACTTCAAAAACGCTATGGAAAAGGCTTGATCGCTTAGTGTGGGCTGATATAGCGCTTTCTAAAACGCTAGGGTATCCTATTGTAGTGCACGTTTGTTTTTGCGGAGATGAAGACGGAATGCTGATGCTATGGTAGAAGCTGCCACGGACTCCAACAATTGAGAACCCTTCTTCTCCTTTTTCTCCCACTTTAACCGGGATTTGGAAACTACCGTTTCCAAGTCCTTGGCCATGAGCACAAATGCTTCTACTTTTGTCTGACTTTTGACATGTTTGCTGGAGACTGGAAGTTTGGTGAAACGGTGTGATGCGCAATCGAGAAGCTCTTCCCCGTAAAAGTCACCTTTCCCGAGGGGCTTGGTGTCCATTGATGAGATTCCTTGCCCAGCTTGACTATCAGTCGACCCGTAGGTCCACACTGTCCCTTCGATAATGAACAGCATGCAGTCGAGTGGATCACCCATTCGAAAAACGAAGCTGTTCTCAGTGTACCTCACTGGCTTCAGATAGTTGCAGATCAACGTCAACACTTTGACATCCATATCTTCAAGCTTTTTTACCTAAACGCATGCGTGCACGCAGACATATATTATCAGAACCACATTGCAGTGAAAATGGATGCAATTAACCTAGCTATAGTAATAACAATGTTATTATGTGTTGTTAACTAACCTAGCATTTTTATATAACTTGGGACTATAAACTTTAAGTTATAGTGCAATCTTATCTTTATTGTAATTCAAATGATGAATGTTAACGTCATTTTTTTTAAACACTGTATACCATAAATTACTGGTGAGAGCTGGAGGTTATTGAGAAACGTACTTTCTTAAGTGTCTTCATGCAAAGAAAATGTTTCAGAGATGTTCTGATATTCACAGGAAGAATATAGAACAAAAAATGATGGAGATCAGCATCAATGTGTCGTTTCAATTTTTGCTTTATGCTTCTCAAGATTTCTTCCTTCATATTATCAGGGATTTCATTTCTGGACATCCATGTCCTTACGTCTAGCTTCTTCAACTTAATCTTTTCTCTCAGCTCTTCTGTTTTTGTAGCTTCCATCTGCATAAAAGTCTGTCTCGCCACAAAACAGACAATTACTTAACATACTCGAAGAATGATCTCCGCATGCAGTCCCAAACACGGAAAATTGTTGAAAGTTAATGTACCTACGGAGAGATTGAATATACCAACCTGTACGTTTCCAATGAGATATAAAAACAGTAGCAAGCCAATTACAGAAATGAGAACCGCAAACAAGTTTTCGAACACATATGTACTTGTCATCAGATTAGTCCCAAAATTACTGCAAAATATTAAGGTACATGATATCATATCAGACAATGTTACTGAATTAGATAACCCCAAAAATTTCTAAATGTTGATTGTCAATATATATAATGTGAACCTTAGATTTCGCAACCCCCACCAGAAGGAGTAAAAGAACTTCTTTCTGAACAGTATTTGCTCAGTGTTTTGATTCTGAAGGGAATCAAGAAATATTCCAAAGTTAAATGGAGATGAAGCACCATTTGGAGTATCCAACGGGCAATGCTCGTTTAGAAATGTTATATTTCTTGCAGTAGTACTTAGACCATCGCAGTTGAAAGTATTCAAACATGCCCTGGGATCTTTACTATGATTTACACAAGCCTCTTGCCAACAAGTTAACTCTCGTTGAACAGAAAAAAAATACCAAAAAGCTCCGAGTACCTAAATCCATAAAATGCAAACACAAAACCCCAGGTAATTAGTCTAACATTTAAAAAAAAAAATTGCATCCGTAACCCAACATTAGTAATTAACCAAATTATTAAAACAGAATGCCAATTAAGGTGAAACTTACGTGGCTGGAAAGAATGTAGAGAAACATGTTGTATAGACCCTTAATCCATATCCCACTAGTCATTTTGAATTCCTTGGCCGATAGGTTGATTCGATAAATCCTCGGAAAATATTGACCGAGAAGAAAAAAATTCAGAATGTTTTTGTGTTCCACAAATCCTGAGCCATTCATTGTGTAAAAAATAACTCCTATTAGCAGCTGCAGAAGATCAAAAGATAAAAAGGGGTTAGAACTTAGAACATAGAATTCCATCAATTTCAGCTAGCCACAAAAGAGAAAATTACAGTTTAGTTCATTTCTCTTACTTGTGGGAGGGGAAGAAGAGCCAAAAAGTCTATTACAGTAAAGACAGATAACCACGGCATCTTTTGAGCTATTTTCATGGCAACTTGATCAGTCAACTCTCTGATTTTCGTTTTCTTATCTGAATTTCCCCCGGTTTGCTCCACCATCGAAGGGGCTCCTTTTTTTAGGGTTTTTGGATTTGGATTTTGAACACCGTCACAGATTTCACATATTAAATGCACCAAGAAAATGACATCCGTGATCGACCGCATAAGAAGAGCTACAATAACCAACGTTTTGTCTATTTGAAAACACTTGTTATCCTGATCGATGACCACAACGTAAAAGAAGAAAGGATCAAGAGAGACAGCAAATACGCATGATAGCACAAATATTCTGCTCCATATTGGAAGGTAAGGCCCCTGCTGCGCATTTCGAATCTTCTTTATCCAGGTAAGGCCTCTGCTGCACATTGGTTTCGAACGTTCTCCGGCCTCTCTGGGAAACACGCAGCAAACAACAAATGAAATTCATATGCTTTCACCCTAAACCCTTATATGACCCCCTCCAGCTAACAAATTAAACAAGACAAAATCAGGCACAAATCTGATTCTAATGGCAGCTATTAGGTATATTTCAGACACTCTTCACTAAAACAAGTATTCGTCCTTGCATAATGTAAAAGAATAATGAATAATAATAAGAGAATTATTATTGGTATTCTAAACTTTATGTCAGCGAACATTGTTTATGAGATGATGGAGTCCAGGATTGTGAGATTTTGACGAGGCCGGTGTTGGTGGGGTTGCAGCAAGCAACGCCGCAGGCCAATGGCTACTTAAACCACCACCCAAGCCCAGTCTCCGATGGAGCCAACTGTAGCCTTGTGAGGCTTGCCGAGTCTCGAAGACTCCACCCCACACACATGGGTTTCCAAGCTATTCGATTATATTGTTTGTGTGTTTTTTAATTGAACTGCATTTATAGAATATTTGTATTTCTATTGAGAATGCAGGTATGTTTAATTCTCGAACTAGAAGTTCGAGCATGCCGTAGAAATCATTTGAGTTTCCTAGAACGCACCACTCATGATGAGAACATATGTTCTCCATGATTAATCCGTTAAACCAAACATGGATTAGAACCTGAATATTCTAATTAATAACTATGATACCGATGGATGCCTTATTTCCACACTTGTGGCACCCCAATTGAAATGGGTCCAAGATGTGGCGTTCCACTTAACTACCAAGAAATTAAGAAACCATTGAGGCCAACAATGACATGGAAGTAGTGACAAAAGCCTCTGCCATGGCTCTTTCGCTCACTCTTATGGACACAAATGGTACAATTCTAACAATTTGTAGAATCCGATTGAATTAGACTAGAGAAGATTTTCTCGTCTTTCCATGCTCCTGCAATAGCAGTATAAAAAACGTAAGTTCACTAAATTCTCGGCTATGATTACTACCATGTTGCTTCCTGAAAAGCACAACAATGCCCTTAACTGAGTTTGTCAGGCATGCTTCTACTGGATCAAAGACACTCCGAAGTAAACGTTGAGTTCTTTACAAAGCCCAAATAGTCGATATTGGCATATAGGCCGCGACATGGGTAGCAAACCCTAACTTGCCAATAATGTTAGAATCAAGGCCCGCCAAGGTATACCAATCATGACCATGAGTGTGATCCCTTGGCTTCTAAGATCCAAAACTTCAAAACTTAGGGATAGTCCCTAAACCAATGTTGTTGAGAAGTACCATTCCATAGTCAACGTATGAGATTTATTTTATCTTGTGATCTTTAAGACACCACCTTGTAGAGATATACCTCTAAGAGTCGGTGCATGTAAGAGAAAGTTTTTGACATGGAAGTCCCTATATTGGCCGAATTCCCCTAGTGAATTTAGTTGAGTTTGTGAACAATTCTTATATTCCCAGATTTAAGTTCGGTGTTTGTTCTTTTCTTGGATATCATTATGGATATTTGGTGTTTGTTCTATTCTTGGATATCATCATGGACATTGACTCGAATATGAGTTAATTGAACCATATTTTTCAAATAAATGTGATCAAGTTCGATTAACATGTGATTTGGTACAAAAGTGGGAAAGTTAGTCATCAAAATAAATGTGCGAATTTCATACTAACTTCATACCTAAGATCATCACTCCTCAGACAACCAAATTGGGTCCACCCAACCCGTTTCTAGGCCCTGGCACCACCCACCTTATAGGGAGGCTCTTATGTTCTCCCATTCTGAAAGAATGTTGTTGAGATTTCAAAGATATTTGAAAGGACAACAATCATGTTGGAATTGCCATTGAGAAAAATTAAGTAGAATATCTTTGCATCACCTCTAATGAATATGACACAAACTTAGGATGTTCCGTGTGGAATAAGAGCCTGAAATTCAAGGATATCAAACCTAGGACGTGCTGTGTGGAATACGGGCATGAAATTTGTCCCAACAACTGGGCCATCCCGTGAAGGTTGGTTCCCTGCTATACTTTGATGAGAGTGACATATAGGAGTATGCTAAGTTTAGAATTAGAATACTTTAGAGAGAGAGAGAGAGAGAGAGAGAGAGAGAGAGAGTACGAACCTGTCTGTTTTCTCTTCTGCCTGGTTCTCCATATCTGAAGTTAATCCCTTGACGTTTCCAGCCATAATAACTCAAATATATATGTACTAAATGACCCTTATGATGAGTAAAAAAGATTACCTAAATAACTACGACGAGGTTTTCAGTTTACAAGGTGGAGAGAGAACAGAATGCAGAGAGCAAGCATTTAGAAACTGAATCTGCATTGCCATTCTCTTTAAGACAAACTGAATTCACGTTTCTTTTAATATGACTTATGTCTTTTAATATGACGTAGGTCTTTAATATCGTAGATCTTTTAATATGACACAACAGTGCAACCAATAACAGACGCCACCTTTTCTGTTAAGATTCAACAAACATTTAGATTACAATAAAGATTAGGAACGCAACAAACACCTGCAATATTCCTGCTTTTTGCCTACAGAAAACTATACAAACCTTCTTTTACCATAACAACTGTTACAATGCCCTCTTTTTTCTCTCTAACCAATAACATCCGTGACCAAAGTACTGCACACTTCAAATTATTTAGGCATCTCATATAATATCAAAAAACATTGCAAAAGAACCCCGTTATTATGAGAGATTTTTTAGTGTACGGGAACACGGCGTGGTACTTCGAGTGTTATAATATAAGTGGATGAATGCTGAAAAAAAATAAACTTCTCTCCATTCATATTATTACACTCGGTGTGTCCGATACGCTAAAAAATCTCTCCTTTAATAGTTGAGACTCCCTAAAATACACATCAGCAATAAAAATACTTAAAAGCAATGGCATCCGGATTTTATCATAACCCGATTAGTAGAAACACAATTTCTAGTATTCAACAGTTAAAAATCAAGTTATGCAATGTAGATGGCCAGCGCAATTTAAGGCGTGCCATTCCAATAATATAACGTCCATTTTCTTAAAAAGAAAAAAAATGGTAATTGATTAGATTATATGGTTGCCATCAATAAAATAGGATAGTATTATTTACATACTTATTTTTACCTCTCACACTCTTGTTAATTTTTATCCGTTAACCTTTTATAATTCATTCAATCCAACGGTTGAGAAGCAAGAAAGGTATGTGAGAGATAAAAATAGTTGTGTGAATAGCATCACTCATAAAATATTGAGTAGGAATCACAAAAACCTCAGTTACTTCTTTTAAAGAATAAAATATATTTGTCTGTGTGTGGAAAAAGCCAAAATAAACAAAGAGCAAAGAAGAAAGGAGAAAGAACAAACACAAAGAACAAAGAGGAAAAAACAGAGACAAAGAATAAAGACAAAGAACATGAAGCAACAAAGAAGTGAACTCAAATTTTGTTCACACAAAGAATCTCTTGTCTTGGTGTATTAATATATGTACAATGTACACCTCAAAGAGCAACAAAATCTCTGAGACTCTTTCATTGGTTGAATTGCTCACCTGTGGGAAAAGCCAAGCAATTTCTCCACAAGGGACCAACAACATCAAATTAACATAAAAAAAATTATAGATAATGCTTGTGTCCTTTATGAGGAATTTATTTGTTCACTTACTTATGGTTAACGAATATTACCATCTGAATATCATAATCAGAATCGTTCATTCTTTTTATTATCATTTAAAGATTATACATGCAAAAATTATTCAACTTGTGATCTTTTAGCCAGTCATATGCGTAAAATAAATTAATAGTTCATTATGAAGATGCGTTACCAAAATTTGACATGCTACAACCGTCGACTTGTGGTATAGAGTGTAGCCCCAAGCTGGGGGAGGCGTAGGAGAACGCCGACATCAATGCACGTTGTTTATTGCTCGGAGACGACGACGACGATGGCAGTATGTTGTTGCCATAATAGAAGCTGCCATGTCCTTCACCTCTGGAGAACCCTTCTTCTTGCTTTTCTTCCACTGTAGCCGGTACTTGGAAACTACTATATCCAAGTCATTGGCCGTGAGCACAAATGCTTCTACTTTTATCTGACATTTGGCATGTTTGCTGGAGACTGGAAGTTCGGTGAAACTGCCTGGTGCCCAATCGAGAAGCTCTTCCCCGTAAACATCACCTTTCCGGAGGGGCTTCGTGGCCATTGATGAGATTGCTCGCCCAGCTTGACTATCACTTGACGCGTATGTCCACACTGTCCCTTCGATAATGAAGGGCATGTTGAAATTTTTTAGATCGACGGTCCGAGAGACCCACTCTAACGACATCGATATTGTCCTCAACTTTATCACATGTCTAATCCGTCAGGTGTGAGATTTTACCACAAAAAACTTCGGTATTAGTTAGAGTAGGGTAATCATATTTAAAGCCATCATTGTTGACTTCCCCACCAATCGATGTGGGACTGCCAACATGAATTTCCCCCAGTTTGTCCCACCACAGCGGAGGTTTGAATCTTCAGGGTATTTCGTCTTGAATTTTGAACACGGTTGCAAATTTCACATGTCAAATGCCCCAAGAAAATGACATCTGTGAGTGATCGCATAAGACAAGCAACAATAATCAACGTTTTGTCCATTTGAAGGCACTTGGTTATCCTGATTGATGATCACAACGTAAAAGAATAAGGGATCCAGAAAGACAGCAAAGACGCATGATATCACAAATATTCTGTTCCATATTGGAATGGAAGGCCCCTGCTGCACTTTGATTTCGAACGTTCTCCTTTCTTTCTGGGAAATACGCAACAAACAACAAAAATTCATATGCGTTCCCTCTAAACCCTAATATGAGCCTCTCGGGCTAACAAATTAAACAAGATAAAATCAGATATATGGTTCTAATAGCAGCTATTAAGTGTATTTCAGACATTCTTAGCTACAACAAGTACCCGTCCTTGCATAACGTAAAATAATAATGAATAATAATTCAACAATAATTTTACGTTGGCTATAATACTTATATGTATTTAATGCAATCATTATCTGATGGTCAAATATAATATCCATGTGATCAGTTGGAGACCACCAATCACCATACAGTGTGGTGGCCAGGAAATGCTGAAATGCCTTTTCGAGTCTTCTCGGCCCTTGAAAATGTGGACTGTCGTGGCTTAGCCACCCGTTGGTCCCCTTTTTAAGAAAAAAAAATAGCTGGAGATCACCACAAGAAGTCTGAATGATCATGAACCAATGCTAAATCTTTTTTTTTTTTTTGTCTTGTCTTCCTTCTTGTCAATTTTGTTAAGTTGTTTATCAGTCCTTGTGAATTCGACCCTTGCTTGTCTCTATATTATTTTTTACGAGTTATGTGCTTGCAAGGATAAAATTTATGTAAATTGGTTAGCCTAATTAGGTTGTCTAATTTATCCAACGAGTTTCTTGCGCCATTACTAGAGACTGCACTTAAACAACATTGTAATTCTTTTTTGTTTTACTTACTAACTCAGTTTATTTTGTTTTTCAGTTGTACGTCTTTTAACCCATTAAAGCAGCCCATCGACTTAGATCACATATGAAGGGTAGTTCAAACAGTTTTTGGACTCCTATTATTTTAGAAATCATCACTGTACACTACAAATAGTACTTTATTAAAAGAGTAAACTGTTATTTAACCCTCTAAACTATCACATGAGTGTCAATTTCCTCCTTGAACTATTTTTTCAGCCAATTGACCCCCTAAACTATGTTAAGGTGGTCAATTCATCCCCTACCATTAAGCATCTTTAACTCCATCTAATTTTCTAGTAGAAAGTGTCATGTGCTTGGCACATGACCACCTTTTTACATTTTCTATCTAAATCTTTACAAAGAGAACATATAAAACAAATATTTAAAAAAAAAACAAAACAAAACATACAAACCCTAAACTTAATCATTCAAAATAATAGAAAAAGTAAAGTAGAAAACCCAACCCCCAAATCCTATTCTCTGCTAGCAACCCTTCCCTTCCCACTTTGCCCGACACCCCACCCAACTTAATTCTCTCTCTCTCTCTCTCTCTCTCTGATATACTTTCTTTCCCTGTTCGCTTTCATGGATTCATGACGGCGCCTGAGATTTCATGATGGGCGTTTTTTTTTTTTGGGGCGTTGGGGGGGTGGGGAAGGGGCGGTTGATGCAGCAGGAGGTGGACGGAGGGCGATGGAAGTGTAGGCGGCCTGAGATGAGATTTGATGATGGGTAATTATCCTACCCTTTGAAATGACATATTTGCCTTTAATTTTGAAGGCAATTTGGATGGAGCTCGAAAAACTTAACGGTAGGGGGTAAATTCACCACTTAAACCTAGTTTAAGAGGTCAGTTGGCTGAAAAAATAGTTCAATGGGAAAATTAACACCCACGTGATAGTTTAGGGGGTTAAATGACAATTTATCCTTTAAAAAAAATTATAAATCATTATGAGAGAATCTCATCTTACAATTAAATTTAATATTTTATCTAGTTCTCTAACGTAAATTAATGGGACTTAAAGCCAAAGCAATATTTCGCTCCTTTTTTTTATGAGAAATCGTTCAGTTTAATTATAAAAAATTAAATAACATTTATTTTTGGAATGTGTTATCTACATATCTCATTTTACTTCTTACACAACCCTTTTAATTTCTATCCGTTGATTTTATTCAATCCATCCGATCCAACAGTCAAAAGTTAGAAGGATATGTAAAAAGTAAAATAAGGTGTGTGAATATCACATCGCTTATTTTTAATTGTGTAGTCAGGCTCCAGATCAATTCTCTTGTTTCTTTTTTGAAATCTCATACATTTTGTCGTCTCAAATTTGAAATCTATTCAACAAATGAGTTTTAAATTTCTTTAATAGAGTTTCTTTTATTAATGGAAAATAGGATTCCAAGTTGGTCATATGATTAAATAATATATAAGTAATATTTGGGAGTTTCCATTCTTAATATCATTTAAGCAATTTGTGATAAAACTCAACACCTAGTAATAAGTGATTAAATTTGGACAATATCAATGATATTAGTGGCGGGTCATGCTTAGGCCTTGAAAATTTCACATATTCTACATAGTACATGAGGAGTACTTATCAAATATAGCCAAATATTAGCCTCTAATTCAAAAATATCAGTTTTTATAAAAACTTTTAAATATATCCAAAATATCACTTAAATAGACACAAATACCCTTAATTCATACAAATAACTAGTTGTTGATTAAAAAATTCTTGTGCAATAATCAAGTGGTGCTTTCACTAATTTTTCTAATATGGATCCGAAGAATTTCTATTTCGTAAACCTTAAAAATATGCTTTTGCACTTTCTAAGAACACAACAAATATCTCGATTCACTACCACATTCAATGATAACCTTCAAAACAGAATCCTGACATGGACAACACCTGTCACAGCCCGTCCCGAATTATTTTTATCGATGACGTGAAATGTCTATTTGGCCCTTAGATGTCGACATGTATTGTGTGTGACATGCTTTTAGAGGTGGACCAATATGTTAAATTCCTAAGTTTTTGGACTCAATTAGAAGTTAGACTTTTGTTGGTTTTGATTGGTGACAAGCTAGACCACATCCTCACACACACACACACACACACACACACACACACACACACACACCACTCCCGTGTACCCTCTCTCTCATCCCTCTCTCATATTTTCTTGTCATTTCTGTACAACTTGTACGGACACCCCTCAAAACCTTTTTAATCATCACGGATCGAGGTCGTGAATGATGTTTTTGGACTCCTTGCAAGCTTAGGAGTCGAATGGTGGTGGTGGTTGGACGTGAAAACCTCGAAAACCAGTGAAACCAAAATTCCTGATTTGGGTTACTGTTCATGCAGTCGTGGTCGTGGACTTTTCAAGGAGTTTTGAGGTCCTGAGAAGCTTTAGAACAACTTCACGAAGCTTGGGAAAGAAAGTTGGAGTGTTTTGGACGTCAGGAAGCTTAGTTTGACTGATTTCAATTTTGGCCGGATTATCGAGGTTTCTCCGGTGAGATTCCGTCGATTTCAAGGCTTAAAAGTGGTAAGAATGTGTTCTACTCACTTTAAGCTTCATTTTGAGACAAATTTCATAGATTTTGGTGCAAAAATGAGTGAGAAATGAAGTTTTAAAGTTTTTCCAGAAACCGACGATCGCAGCGGCGCCGGTGACGGTCTCCGGCGAACCAAAGATGAAGGAGAATATTCCGTCAAGTTTGACGGAATATTCTAACGGTGTCAGGTAATGCCGTTAACTTTATTAAGGTTTTAACAGAATATTCCTATCGGCCGTTAGGCTTAGTTAGGGTTTGGCCGCGCGTGGGGGCGCGTTTGGCCGTGCCTTGGCCGGCGCGTGGGTGGTCAAAAAAAAATTCTAAAAATATAGGGATGTTCATGGTGTTGAGTAGATCACGTTGGTATATTCAAACACCCCATTTGAGCATTGTATGAGAAGTTATTAGCTAGTTTTGGTTATATGCTTTAATTAACGTTTATTTAGTTATTTCGCATATAGGTGTGACCTATCATGAGGACGAGCGCCATCAATCGAGGCTCGGGGGCTACGACCCGTCGACATACCAGTGAATGGGCTTTTGATTTTCCGTATATACCTATATACTTGAGATTTTTCCCAAAAAATGAATTTGAATGATTATACGTTTTGAAATGTCATGCAAAGTGTCTGCCTATTTTATTTATGCATTAGTAGTTGCATATATTTATGATTGGTGATGCGGACACACATGTAAGTGCCAGGTAAGTTCATAAATTAAAGATATGAGATTGCTTTAGTTATGTGAGATATGATGTGTTGCATTGAAAGCTCATAAACCTTCACCCCGGTGTTAGTGCTCCCGCCCAGAGTTAGGGCACAGTCCTTCATGTGATGTTTACCTCCCGCACCATATGATCACCTTGGATCCAAGTTAGGTGCATATGCTTGTCGTACAGACCATTATAGGTGGTTCCGACTCGTAGGTGACCCGCGATCATTCACACAGTCTTCATGTGATCGTAGTACTTGAGCATATTTATTTTACACATAGTCTTGTCATACAGACCACTTTAGGTGGTTCCAACTCGTGTGCAGGATTTGATATGATTAAGATTGGTTATGAGCTATAGACTCAGTCGTACAGGTTACGTTAGGTGGATCCGGCTGATATGATATCTGGCATTGAGATATTTTAACTGGATTACTTATGGCATTTCATTAAGATATTTTGGCATGATATATTTCTATGGATTTTCATCCTGAACATGATTTCTGATATAGCATATATTATATTTTCTATGAAATTATAC